ATTTCATAAAAATGTTTTTTTCTTTTTTCTTTTGGTGGTTATATTCACATCTCTCGTGCATCTCGTACAGGCAACTGGCTTTCTACACCGGTCCTACATGTAACGTCTTCTTTGCCAACTTTTGTTTTAATCACCAAATTTGTAATTTACTTATTTTTATCAGTCGAAACTCATTTGTTTTGTGCGCTTTTGAACCGCAGTGGGTGGTCTACTGAACGCAACTTGTGGAAACGCGACTGAATTGATAATCGCGATTCTAGCATTAACCAATCACAAAGTCGCAGTGGTGAAATACTCGCTGCTAGGTTCGATTTTGTCGAACCTTCTATTAGTTCTCGGGACTTCACTCTTCTGTGGCGGAATTGCTAATCTCCAAAGAGAACAACGGTTCGACCGGGTATGGCCTCCCTTTTGTTTTTTGTTTTTCCTTATGTTTTTAACTTTTTATAGAAATATCAATATAATATGACGTTGAGTAATATAGAGCGACATGAACTATACATTTATTGTCAATTAGTTTTGAATCAGAAAGTTAGAAAAACATTTTTTTCATTGTTTTTAATTGTCGCAGAAACAAGCCGATGTGAACTTCTTCTTACTCTTGATGGGTTTGTTGTGTCACTTGCTGCCACTGTTGTTTGGATACGTGGGAAATGAAGAGACTTCCGCTGCTCTTATTTCCGACATGACACTGAATCTATCGCGAGCTAGCAGTATTATTATGTTAATCGGTTATATCGCGTATCTTGTTTTCCAGCTCTGGACTCACCGCCAACTATTCGATGCACAAGATCAGGTACTAAAATATATACACTTAAAATAAGAGGAAGAAGTCAAATTATTTTGTGTTTTGACAGATCTTTAAAACGAAATTTGCTTCAGGAGGATGAGTATGATGACAATGTAGCTGATGAAGAAACTGCGGTGATTAGTTTTTGGAGCGGATTTGCGTGGTTGGTCGGGATGACACTTGTTATCGCATTGCTATCGGAGTATGTTGTGGCCACAATTGAGGTACGTTTTTGTTATGTTCAATCCCTAGCTAGAGTTTGTTGAATCTTGATCATCTTATGTATATATTTAATTTAAATATGCATGGTGTTATGTTTGGTTAGGACGCATCGGAATCATGGGGACTATCAGTGAGTTTCATAAGTATTATATTGCTTCCCATTGTTGGAAACGCAGCTGAACACGCTGGAGCCATCATTTTTGCTTTCAAGAACAAGCTCGTAAGTTCCTCTTTTTCCTTTATCTTATCACTTCTATTCTGATATGTGTAATACTTAACACATATAGGAAATATATTCAAGTAGATCACGTAATATACAAATTTGTGGATTACAATGCATCAACTCATATAAATGCAAATGATTTGTAGGACATATCTTTGGGAGTTGCATTAGGCTCTGCGACTCAGATTGGCTTGTTCGTTGTCCCTTTGACCATTATCGTGGCGTGGATTCTAGGAATTAACATGGATCTCAATTTCAGTCTCCTCGAGACCGGTTCTCTTGCTCTTTCTATTATCATCACAGCCTTCACATTACAGGTTAAAACATTTTTCAACACCTTACAAAAAATTATCAATCCATTAGATAAATCAATGGAAGATTGAAAAACTCAAGTTTCAATGATTAAATATTGTTTTATGTTTTGTGTTTTCTTTAGGATGGGACTTCTCACTACATGAAGGGACTGGTTCTCTTGCTTTGCTATTTCATCATTGCCATTTGTTTCTTCGTCGACAAAATTCCTCAAAGTGAGTTTAAATTCGATATTTCTGTATATACTTATACTAGATTGTCAAATCACAAGTTTAAATACAATAATAATGACATAACATAAACTTGTGATAATATGTGTATTTCAGAACAACCAAATGCTATTCACATGGGGATTCAACCGATGAACAATATTATCACTTGGGGCAAAGGAGTTTTCTCATCTTAAATTTGGACAAGTTACCAATGTGTTGAAACCATATTTCCAAACCGAAACAATGGAGAAGAAAGAAAAAAGCCAATTTCTTGATTCATTTTGAAAGATTTGTCAGAGAGATTTACGAAATTCAATTGAGTTTTTCATATTTTCCTATGTTGGGGGGTCTTGATGAAGATAAAGTTTTGAAGTTTTCTTAATGTCTATGTGTGGGTTTTTGATGGACTGTCTATGAATGCTTTATCTCCAAGCTTCAATCTCGTTTTTTTTCTCTTTGATAATCATTTTCTTGAGCAGTTAATATAAAATTATAAATAAATAGAGTATTTTGCCCAAAAAAGAATAAATAGAGTATTCTAGATTTCTTTCTAATGATCAACAATCAGACATAGATAATCTAAAATAGAGTATTAGTGTGGACTTTCCTATTTTGATCGTAGAAGTAGAAATAAACATTTGATTAGTGAAGTGTGTTCAGAAAATAAATTCTTGCATGGTACTACTATCAATGATCTAAAATGATAATCAAACTGAGCACATGATATCATCTTCAAGTGGAATTAGAAAGAAAGTTGTTGGAATAAGTCACGTGGACCAAATATGGATTTCCTTTTCTTTTTGGTCGAAGTTTGTTTCATTGATTTAACCGGTTGTGAGCCGGTTCCAGTTGGTACATCACATAAAATTGATTTTGCTAACTCATCAGCTTCTTCGTTCTTAGATCTAGGAGCATAAACGAAAAGTACATCCAAATCTAGAGAGCATTTGATAATATCTTGTGCGATTCCGTAGATCTCTAGGTAGAACCTGTTGTTGTTGATGAGATTGATTAGCTCTTTCGAGTCTGATGCCATAGTGAACCCAGAGAGATTCCTCAAGGCTGCTTGTGTACGCTTCTCTCATGGCCAATGTTTCTGCCATCAGAGGTGATCCGATTTCATTCTCTGTCTTGGAGCCTTGTATCACCGTTCGATTGTGTTGATCCTTGACGATCCAGCCTAACCCTGCGATTTTCGAGTCCGATCTCCAAGCTGCATCAGGATAACATCAGACTCCTGTGATTTCCGATGGGGTGGTTTGGATTTGGTTATCCTTTGCTGTGTATTGTTGTTGTGTCGAGAGCCATTCGTTAGCGGCAAGGATCGCCTTCGAATATGAAAATAGTTTAGGAAATATTTTCACTTGTTTAGGAAACTTTCTTAAAAAATAATTTAGGAAAGATTTTCACTTGTTTAAGAAGGTTTTCCTAAACACCTTTCTAAACAAATAGGAAACATTCTTAAAAATAAGTTTATGACGGATTTTCACTTGTTAACAACTTCTGAAACAAGTAGGAAACGTTATTAAAAATAGTTTAGGAAACATTTTCACTTTTTTAAGAAGACTTTCCTAAACATCTTCCTAAACAAGTAGGAAACTTTCTTAAAAAAAAGTTTAGGAAGGATTTTCACTTGTTTAGGAAGACTTTCCTAAACAAGTAGGAAATCTTATTAAAAAAGGTTTAGGAATGATTTTCACTTGTTTAAGAAGGTTTTCCTAAACATCTTCCTAAATAAGTAGGAAACCTTCTTAAAAAAAACTTCAGGAAGGATTTTCACTTTTTCAGGAAGACTTTCCTAAACACCTTCCTTAACAAGTAGGAAATCCTCTTAAAAAAAGTTTAGGAAGGATTTTCACTTATTTAGGAAAGTCTTCATAAACACCTTCCTAAACAAGTAGGAAACTTTCTTAAAAAAATGTTTATGAAGACCTTTCGAAACACCTTCCTAAACAAGTAGGAAACCTTCTTGAAAAAAAAATAGAAAAGATTTTCATTTGTTTAGGAAGGCCTTCTTAAACACTTTGTCAAACAAGTAGGAAACCTTCTTAAAAATAAGTTTATGAAAGATTTTCACTTGTTTAAGAGGGATTCCCTAAACACATTCCGAAACAAGTAGGAAACATTCTTAAAACTAGTTTAGGAAAGATTTTCACTTGTTTAGGAAGGTTTTCCTAAACACTTTCCTAAACAAGTATCATTTGTTGAAGAAGGTGTTTAGGAAGACGTCAAAGACCGTCTCTAATTTGGAAGAGTTTTTCGATTTCCTCAAAATGTATATTTACGTATCGATATGACTAACACAAATTACTAACACAATTGTTTACAATTACATGTCACGTTATTTTAGAAAAGAGCTGCTACTTTCGCAATGAAGGTTGGACAAAAAAAATCCGAAACCAAAAAGTAAAACCTAACTCGACATAAATTATCCGAACTGAATCGAAATCAATCTGTTTTCTAAAAAATCCTAGTAGAATCTCAATTCCTAGTGCCGAAAAATCCGAACTAAACCAAACCGAGAACCGGAGGGTCACCCGAAATACTCGAAATATAAAATAATCTAAAGATATTTAGATTCTAGATCTGATATGTTCATGTAGTTTGGGTAAATTTTATAGTTTTTTCTTTTTTGGTTAATTCGGTTAATTCGAGTTTTGTAAGTATATTCGGATAAAATAACTAATTTGGATATATTATTTCAATTTTTACGGTATTTTTTATAATTTTTTCGAGTATTTTCGTATAACTCGGGTGAAAAAATAATTGAATTGAACCAAACTCAAAAAAATTTCAGACAATTATAAGTATTTTAGGTAAAAAAATCCAAAAGAATGAACCATAAA